AGGTCACTGGTTCGAGCCTCGGCTCAGTTGGAGTTTCTGTGTGGAGTTTGCATGTTCTCCCTGTGTTCGCGTGGGTTTCCTCCGTGTGCTCCGGTTTCCCCCACAGTCCAAAGACATGCGGTACAGGTGAATTGGGTGGGCTAAATTGTCCGTAGTGTATGTATATTTCCCAGAGATGGGTTGCGGCTGGAAGGCCATCCGCTGCATAAAAACTTGCTGGATAAGTTGGCGGTTCATTTCGCTGTGGCAACCCTGGATTAATAAAGGGAATAAGCCGACAAGAAAATGAATGAATGAATGATTTTAAATGGTTTGTTATAATTGGTGTCCTCAAGCTATTTGACCAGCTATACAGTAGTTATGATTTAATTTGTTCTATTACCTGAACACAAATAGATTTTAACATAAAGCAAAAGCTAACATGTATAAACAAGAAATGACATAAATAGAAGGTATGAAAGTTTGACATTATTGATAATTAACTAGAAATTCAAAAGCTCTTTTTGGTTTCAATTGTCTTGTTCTCTACTAAATGATTTATTTATTTATTTATTATTTTTTAACATCTTAAATCTTAAACCATGTTCTTACCTTTTTGCTATACCTTTGACTCAATGCATTTTGAAATATACTTTGAATTTTGCTACAAATATCCCAAGGTGTATTGAGGGCAAGGCAATTTTATGTTTCCTAACCCTGAGTCTAAATGCTACCATTTTTGCTTACATTTTTCAATAAAATTTTGCATCTTATAATGCAATACTGTATATACTATACATATTAAAACTGGTTTGTCAAGACAAATGATAAATTGTAGGATTGCCTTTTTATTTAGCAAATTCTGTCATGGATAATGCAAATTTAAATAAATAAAAAAATGCATTGCCATTTTAAATGCATTTAAAAATATGTTTCGCTACTAATATGCTTTTTCAGTTATGTCCAGTGATTTAGTTTTTTATTCAGAGCCCTGTAAGAACTGATTTGTATTTGTGTGCACTTAGGGTGGATTGACCGGTCGATAATTAACTAGACTAGTTGTTCAAAAGCCACTGGCTTGTTGATTTGGAAAATATGTCATTGTACAAATCCCATAAGTCCATCTGTGTGTTATTGGCTTTCATGATGTCTCTCTATCTCTCTGGCTTTGTCTTCATTTCCCGCTTATTTTGTTTCCATTTTCTTGTTCTCTTTATTCGCCTGTGTTTCTTCCTCCCCTCTCGATCTTTGTTTTGTTTACGTGTTTTGTCTTTCTTGTCTAATTTCCTCTGTCCTCTCTGTCTCTGTCTTTCTCGCTTGTCTTTTTTTTCTCTCTGTCTCTGTGCTTCTTTCTCTCTCTTGCGATTGTGCGACTCGCTCGCGGCTCGGCATTGTCTTAGCGCGACACCGGCTGATAAGTCCTTTGTGTCGTCTTGTTTCAGAAAAGTGTGGAGGCTGGCGAAACTGTCACACTTATTTCAATAACCATCATGGCATTTCTATTACAATTATCATCTTGCCATGCGGGGCCAGGGCACGGAGCCCCCTGCAGCCACAAAGGCCCATCAACTCCCACATACTCATCGCTCCCATCCCGTCAGCTGTCACCCTTATCTTTCCACATTTCACTATTTCTTCTCAATAAATGACACGCCACTGACAACAGCTCCATCAATGAAGCCTAGAAGATGCTTTGAAAAAGGAGAACATTCCAGTCAAAGAAATGGGATTGTCAGCTGGGGTGTATTGATTAGGGTATGGATACTAGACACTAGAAAATCTGGTCCTATAGTTGCTGTCCTGAAGAATTTCAACACATTTCAAACAAGATAATCCAGATATAATCCAGGGAGCTAGACAGCTTGAAAATATACAGGGCAAACAATAGTGTTGTGTGGCATTCAGTACATTTACAGACAACAATGCCTCATAATGTCTTAAAAGAAAGACTGGCATGTTTAATCAGACCACCCAGATGGGTTCTGTCACAAATTTGAAGCTCACCAATATAACACAGAAGCTCAGACGCTCTCCGCAGCTTTCAAGTATGGCGAAATAAAAGAGAAATGATGGTTTTGGTGCAGCTAGGAGGAATTATGCAATCGAGGAAAGATTCATGAAGCTAGGGCAAAAATAGTTTTCTTGAGAAAATGGAGCCTGTACAACACACATCTCTTCAGGATTAGCTGTTTTCAATTTCCTTTCAAATTGGGCAAAATAAAAAGTATGCTTCATAGAGACATGACAATTTCACAATAATGCCCATACACAGAATTAAAATAAAGGTTTTATTCTCGTATGAGATAAAGAATATAAACAATAGCAAAACTCCTGGGGAAACAGAAAATCTGAATCTACGGTTCTTCTGTAAAATAATGTTCTGTAACCTCCAGAAACACCTTTTGCATGGCTGCTCTCAAATATAATAGAGTTTACTTGCAATTAATGTTTGAGTAACATTCTTATCTCTCCCTTTGATTAAATATATTGGTGCTGTCCGTTTTTTTTCAATGAGACGTTAAACCAAGGTCCTGACTCTCTGTGGTCATTAAAAATCCCATAGCACTTCTTTTAAAGAGTGTTCTAGCCAAATTCCCTCCATCCGCTCTTACCAATCATGAACCCCCCCACCCCCCACCCCCCACCCCCAATCACCCCCATCCACCTGAATTGGCTCTATGATTGCCTCTCATTTCACCAATTGCTGGTGTGTGGTGAGCAGACTGGTGTTGTTGTCCTGTTGTCCATCCAAGTGGATGGTGCACACTAGTGGTAGTGGAGAGACCCCCATCATGATATCGTCCCAGCATGGGAGGATAACTGGTTTAACGGTTTAATGCAGGTTGGAAAGCTCAAAGTTTTAAACCTGCAAACATTTCCTGTTATACCGTTCTTAAGGTTTATGTAAGGATTTTTTAATGTGTTTTTTTGTTGTTGTTGTTGTTGTAAAGAAATCTGTGTTTTTGAAACTAACGAAGAGAGCAGAGGACAGTGATTTATTTTAATTCTTTAGCTTGACATGCTTACTGTTGGAAAATATTATTTCTTAAAACAAAGACAATATGTTTTGCTTGTGTAGAAAATGCTTCTTGATTTGAGAACTTTTAGATATTTGGACTAGTAACAAGACAAAAAATCTAAGTAAGAAAATAATTTTTTGCAGTGTATGAAGTGGAAGGTCTGTAATTAGTTGACTTCATAGTGGTGAAGAGGTTGGACGAGGTTGAGAGCCTTGTCTCGAGTCTTATAGAGGAGCTTTGGAAAGATACTTTTGCTTTCTGTTTATTTTATTATTAAAGTTGTTGAAAGTTTGCCAGATCTGCATCTTTCTTCCCTGAATGTTACGAGTTTGAGTTACTTCTACAGTAGCATCACATGCTTTTTTGGCATAAACTCAAAACACCAGCAAAGAAACTGGGAAGCATAGGTACCCCACTGCCTACTAGCATTGCAATAGTGACAACACAGACAGAATTCATAAGTATAAATATTGACAACAGCATCAGTCAAGCTACAGTTAGGTAGAGCAATCACTTGATGCAGAAGTATAAATTAATCTTTAAACAAGTGCAGTTTTGTAAAAATGGGAATGTTTTTTGGCACATTTTTTTTAACCATTTGTATAATCACAGTTTTACATCAAAGACCAGCCTCAAATAGGACTGGCAACAAAATCGGTTTATTTATTGACTGAACATCATTGTCAAGAACGATAAATAAAGTTCAGTATGAATTGCTATAGTTTTATTAAAGTGTGGCTGCTGAGCGCACGCCTTGGAAGGAATGCCAATAAGCTTAGGGTATAAGTTTGTCATTTCCAATGGAGGCGTGTGACTTGCACGACGCTCACATGGTGTGCGACCGGTGCACAAGTAATGCGCATGCGTTTCCAGGTACACAGAGTTAAAAAACATAGGAACTTTTTGAATGCCGCGAACTTAGCAATCTGCTTCACACTTTGAATGGATTTTACACATTTCAGTAATAACGGCAAACTAATTACCTCAGACAAACACAGCACATCTAAACACTGCAGTGCTTTTTACTTTTCTCCATAAACTTGCATCAAAGTGGCAGCAATGGTTTGTCCATTTGTCATCCTCTGAGAAAATGGTTGATAGTAGCCTAGTTACAAGAGATGCCATAGAAAATGGTGAAGTAAACCACATGCTCACACTTTTCACTTTAGGTCAGAATAACCTGATTAAGACATGTAAAAATGAGTCCTATATAGCAGCAGTGAAGAGATTGTAAATAAAATGGATGTACGGATGTCGCCAGAGTGGCTTTTTGGTTTCTTTTCTTGTGCATCCCAGCCACTAGCCCACCACTGTTTTAGGATATGGTGATAAACAGTAGTCATTCAACTTCACAATTTGTAATGTTGCTGTATGTATTTAAATAATGATCATTAGTCCCACTTAAAAGCTCAGATTTGATTATCCTAATTTGTTTTGTTTACAGAGTTTGACGTTTACTGTATCATTATTATTGACAGCTCACAGTTGTTGATCTATCTTTACCATTGCACACAACTTTGTAGCATTTTATGTATCAAGTTTAATAGTTTTTTTAACATCTATGTTTATCTTACTATAAAGATGAGATATTTTGTTTAAATAGTTTTGACTATTAAAACCATTTGCCTTAGTAATGTTGGTAAATTAAAATAAATCCTATTATTCCTTAAAGTATTGTTAAAAAAATATTCAATAATTATCTTTATCGAATGATATGAAACATGATATCTTGATAATGTTTTGTTGCAACATCGCCCAGCCCTAGGCTCAAACTATGGTTAGTGTAGCAAAATATTGTTTGCAAGTTGTGGTTTGCATGTTTTTTTATTTACAATTATTAAATTATTATACAAAGTAAAAATAACAACCACTAGCTAGTTAGCCAACAGGTCAGATTATCTTCATTATCTAAAGCAATCATAAATAATCACCATCACTTACATTTGGTAAAACGATGTGAATCAGTTTGAATCATTGTTTTCTTCTCACTCTCATCCTCAGATCCTTGCAGTGACACTCTGAACAGCTTAAGCACAGCCTGTCGAGTCAACCCAAAGACCTACCAGCAGATTACCTTTGCCCCGGCTGAGTCTTGTCCGCCTGACGAAATGCCCATCTGTGCCAGCGACGGACATACCTACGAGAGCATGTGTCAGATGGAGCGCACTGCCCTGAAGAACAACCTGGAGCTCAAAAAGGTCTCTTTAGGCAGCTGCAAGGAAAAAGGTGAGTTCCTCCTCAAAGCAGAAATGTCGTCGGCTTCAAGGAGCTCATGCTCGTTGTCTGATAAAGGAGCCCTACGGCCGCATTTGATTTATTTTGTCATGGCTGCAGCGAGGAGGCTGTGGACAAATTAAGTCAGGTTAGCAGTACTGTCATGCCTACACGATACCAATCTCCACAAATCCAATTTGCCTGTCGGGCTCTGGCAGGTGTATTGTGGCAAGACTGTATCTTCACGGGTGATGAAAAGATTGTCTCTGCCTCGCTCTGAAGCCCTGTGGCAAAGCCGTGTGAGAGTGTGTGTTCTGCTGTGATAGTGCATGAACGCTGGCTTAGTGTTTGTGTGTCTGAACTGTGTTTGTGCCGTGAGCAATAGGGCGTTTATTTGTGGGCCACTGTTGTCCCAGTACAGAGCAACTGTCTGTGTGCTGGTGTAACGCACAAAGCGATAGCAGTTCTCTCAGATGAGTATCTTTGTGTCAGATACAGGCTAGAATGCTAGCATTTGTTTGGGATTCACTTAATTTGAATGCAAACAAATCTTCTTTAATCATAAATTTAAAAAATAGCTATTATTAACATTTATTTTGAAAAGTGTCTTTAAGTAAAGTTTTATAAATTAGTGTAAGAGGGCATGGTATATGATAGATCAAGGCTGGCCTCTCATCCGTAATCAGTTATAATCCAATCAGATTGATCCAAGCTTATAATTAATAGACCAATTTCACCCTACTGCCTTATCTTTGTTTTGAAGGAATCCCCCCCTTCCACCCAATCTCCTCCTTTTCCTCCATTTTCCAGGGGAAGCTCTCGAGATCTACCCAATCTTAGACCTCTTTATATGCTTATTGACCAGATGGGAGCCTTGGACTCAATTATCTCCGAGCTCAGGGTTTTCTCCCAGGACAGCATGCCAAATCTGCTATTAACGTCTAACATATCTAAGTGTGAACTCTTCAAAGTGTTAGTTTAATTTTTAACAAGCCTGAGATCTTTGTTTGTCTTCAAATAAATTTGAGATATTGTACATGAAATTGGAAAGCTCCCTTATTCTCCGCTAGAGAGCAAGTTTCAAGACTTGTTCAGATGAGAAAAGAGAATAGCACCCTTATGAACATGCACAATATACTGACACTGAGGGGAAGAAACAGTTGAATGAAGTGCATTCTTTTGTTTAGTCACAAACCTTGCTGTCTATGGAGAATGAGAGAGGTCTCAGGTTTCACCTAAAATATTTTCATGTGTGTGCATAATTAATTACGTAATTTAAATTTGTGGGTGAACTAAACTAGTCATGGGCCGGTATAAGATTCTGATAGTATGATTCTTCACGGTATTGTGCTCATTGCTCTTAAATATATATTTTTTAAATGTCAGGGTAAAAAACAACATTTTCCTCTTTGAACACTATATATTTCAATTTGAAAAACATTTAAAATATTTTGGAGCAGTAAACATGTTAGGCTAAAATTAAAATGAATTATTGACTTCTGCTTTTTTCCATAGTTTCAAAAACATTGAGGGTAAACACAAACTTCAACCACTCATTCCAAAAGACTCCTAAAAAGTTCCTTTACTAGTTCTTTAATTCTAAAGAGCAACAACTCTCGATTAAAATCAACAAATAAAACTTCCCAAAGAAACAATATTTGTAGTTATACAGTGGTCTCTCATTAATTGTGGGAGTTACGTTCTAAAAATATCCCGCAATAATCGAAATCCACGATATAGTAGTTATTTTTTATAATTATGTTAGATGTTTTGAGGCTGTAAAACCCCTCACTACACTATTTTCTCAGTTAGGGATTAATATTTTAACACTTTTTTTTCTCTTGTCTAAAAACTCGCATAACTTTCACCTACCTTTAGCATGTCCAGAAGCATGCTATTTTTTTACCAGTTACTTTCAACAGCTTTCAAATAGGATCAGATTCTGCAAGGGTTTCGATTTTTTCGGTAACACTTTATTTTGATGGTCCATTTGAGTATTAGTAGACTGTTTACTTAATATCTGTCGATACTGCTCCTTCATCAGACATTTATCTGACTATAAAAAACTTTGCAAGTACAAGACAACTTACCCTAACCCCAACCCTAAGCCCAACCTAACTGTCTACTAATAAAAATTAGTTGGCATATAGATGCAATGTATCTTAAATTCAACAAACATCATCAAAAGAAAGTGTGACTAATTGTTTTTTTAAAACACCAGCAGGCTGTTCTGGGGAAAATAGTCCTCTACAATGCACTACAAACTCTCACATGATTCGTTCTTGTATGGAACACCAAGTTTTTACATTCCCATCATTTCCAGATGGAGCAAAAGAGCCTTTTATTGCCAGTTTAGACTAAGCGCCGCTAGTACGCTCAACTGTTAGTTTGTTAACTGAAGGTTAAATGAAAGAACAAAAAAATGGAACTATATAAATCTTACCATTTTTATCTTTGATACTATTTGGATTGCTAGCTAAGAGAGGCTTTTTTGATTAGTTTGAGTAAAATATTATTTTTGCAGGGTTATACATATTTCACAACAGTTTCGGGAGAAAAATCATCCTCCAAAAACCTCTCGATTTTGCTTCTCTTCTCGCATCGAACTAGCAGTTTTTGCAATCCAATCAATTCCTGATGGATGAAATCAAGCCTTGGCCTATTTTTTTCTCATTAAATATTCTGTTTTTCTCATAAATATGTCAGACTGTGGAAGTATTTGGGTTGCGAACAACACTTCATGTGGAGTAAAATCAGAAGCTCCTGCTTCCGTTCCTATAGCTTACTGTGAGCCAGCTCTCATCAGCATGTATGTCACATCTTTAAAGATAGGTTGGATAATGCAATCAAACATAAATCAAGCTCAGATTGTACAATAGCATAATAGGTCTCTTAATTTTCTCAAACAGATGAAAGACTGGTGTAATTACACACCGCCACGGACCGTCTGTGACAGCTTAACATAACTCTGAGTGGGGGGGAAAAAACAGCCCAAATCAATCTGAATGGAATTAGATAATTGATTAAATAATCAGGCATGGTAATTAATTCAAAACCCCTGAGTGAGTCGATATCCGATGTCTGATTGAGCAAGAGAGAAAGAGAGATGCTTCCAGTCAATGTTGATTAGTTCCAGAACGCTTACCTCCGTTTCTGACTCATACATACATGTCTCTCTGGTCTCCAGGGGGCTGCCCGAATGGTTGTAAGTTCAACGCCATATGTTTGCTGGAAAATGGAGAGTTTCGGTGCTCCTGCGATCCCATACAATGCGACGGCACGTACAAGCCCCTGTGCGGAAAGGATGGCAAGACATACCCCAACGACTGCGAGAGGAAACTGCAGGAATGCCGGACCCAAAAAGACATCCCTGTCAAACAACAAGGGCCCTGTGGTGAGTTTGGAAAATTGTGTGAATGTTCAGATGAGTCCTTGCAGTTTTATGTTTGCAAAACGTGCTATTGTTTAATTAGCATTGTGTGTCTGCTTGTGTCCTGCTGGAAAACTCTTGTGGAAGGTGCTCATTCTCTTTCATTGCCACAGCGTTCTCATTCTGCCATCAGCTGTGATGACACATGAAACACTGACTTCATGTTTCATTCATGACCTCACCTCTCCAGTGCATACGTCCACACCAGTCCTCCCATGCTCAAATGTCTCGTCATTCCCCCTTTGTCCTTTTATGTGCTTTTTTGGCTGTCTTTAAATCGTATTTTTTCTGTTCCAGTGTGTCTCTCTGTCTGTCTTTGTCCTTGTGATGTCTGCTCAGGGCCACCACCGGACACCACTCAACCTCTACAAGAGTTCAACCTCTGACCTTTCTTGTTGGGATTCTGACCTGCGGGTCTCCTTCTGGGGGCCCTCAAAGGGCTGGTTTGATGTCTTCTTTCTACCTGTACCTCTTTGTCTCTTTCTTTTCTTGTGTTTGCATCATAGAGGATGGTTGGATCGGCATTCCCTATAGCTCCAATCTTCAACACTCTATATGAAGGAGAAGTGAGGTTATGGTGCATTTCTTTTTTTGGAGTACGGTTTGTTTAGATGTATCATTTAACAGTTGTTCTGACCCTGTTGTTGCCCTGCAACCTGTTTTTATGGATTGCATGCATATAAACCCCCTTGTTAGAAGCTAAGATCATTTTCCTGCTAAGCCTAGGGACGGGAGTAGAATCTACGCTAGTCAAAATGCTAAGCACTATGTTCGTAATTAACACTCTGGGGTCTGACTGGGTTTTGGGGGGCTCTGAGTGTGGAGAAGTTTTGAAACACCCTGATATTTGTGGGGTTTTCACTATCTTATAAATTTTTGATAAGCCAAAGTCTGGTAACATTTTACTCAGTACAAACTGGACTACAATAACAAGTAAGGTTGTAATTTTGAGATATATTTCGATATGTAAAGCTTTTTTCGCCGAAAGTCACTTAAATTTAGCAGAAATAAAATTAAATAGATGTTGACAAGGCTTCTGTGTAGTAAATATAGTACTGCAGGTTTTTCTACAAAATAATGTGAAATAATGATGTGACTTCTTTGCGTCTGGCTGGATTCCTGTTGACTAGCATTTTAGAGTAGAGTAAGATGATTGAATGTGCAGGCAAACAACACCAGCTCGACCGTCAGTATCTACAAAGTTATTAACCAGTGGACAGTTCGCTATTTGTTAAGACCACAGAAGCAAATTTTCAATGGAATTCAAAATATTGGAGAACAGCAAGTCTCTCAATGGTTAAACTGAGTTTATTTGATAGCTGTTAAATGATTTTTTAACTGATTACTGATTATTTGATAACTGTTAACTGATTTTTGACCTCATGTGCAGTGCATTTGGTAGAAGTTTTTTTAATATGTACTATACAAGTACAGTAGTTCAGAGGGAGCCTGTTTGGTACACAAAAATGCAGTAAACACATAATAATTACTGCAGGAGTTATTTTTAAAAGCTTGAATTGGTAAAAAAAACATGTCCTGGACAGTGTGTTAATTATGGGAAGTGTATCCAAGGCTGTTTTGGCAGGGTTAAGATTTTGAGCGCATTTTAACGGTACAGAAATATCCCTCTCATTTATTTCGAATGCTATGTGTGTCCTACTCCCTGGCAGCACATATGTGGCAACTATAGTGCTGGATGCATCCCTACCTCCCTCTATCCTTTTTTCTCTGTTCAATATCAGCCTCTATGACTCATTAGGATTGTTTTCCAGTCTTCAGTGAAAAGATGCATAAATTAACATGTAAAGAGGAGTAGTGCTTGTGTCTTTGGCTTTATTTCATTATTTCTGACAAAGTAAATGTTTTGGTCCTTTCAGGCTTTTGCTGGTGGCAAGTTACAGTATGTTTTTTTTTAATACATTTATTTACATTTGCATATTCCGCAAACAGAACATTAATTAAACATCAAAAGCTCTGTGGCGGACCTGAGCCAGGCTGACTGCCTTTCATGCTGAGGAAGATACGGAGCATTGATGAGCGAAAGTCTTGTGCTTTGGACACCTGTTCTCAGTTTGATGTGTAAATGCAGAAAAAAAAAAGTTGCTTTGCTTTGTCGTTGTGTTTTGCTTTTGTCACCTTCTTTGTCCTCTCTCTCTTTTAGTGAAGTTTCTTCTCTTTCTTTCAGGTTTATATCCACACAGACCAGGTTTTGCTGGTTAGCATGTTACACTTTACCCTGGTGGATGTTGTCAGGCTATTCGCTAACAGCTAGCTTCCTCTACTGTAGGTATTATGCTGTAGATATACGTTGCACTGTCAGGGCCCAGGTGCAGGTTTGTTTGTATCACATTCTTTTTTCTTTTTGTTAAATTTCTTCTCTTTCTGTTGTTTTAAAGATTTTGCTGGTTAGTGTATTCCCATTAGCTATGAAAGGTTTTGTCAGGATAGTCGCTAACGGGTAGCCCTTGTCTTTTTTATTTTTTTTAATTCAGTTTACACTTTTTATTTTATGTTTATATCCAAACAGACTTTGTTATGCTGCCTTGCTGAAAATTCAGCAGCCTGGCTGACCAGGCTGGTTTTAGAGGGGTTCTGGCCACTTCCAGGCTGGTTTTCAGCCATTTCCAGCCTGGTCTTAGCTGGTCAGGCTGGAAAATGACCAGCTAAATCCAGCTAAAACCAGCTTGACAAGCCTGGTTTAAGCTGGACATCTCCCAGCCTGACCAGCTAAGACCAGGCTAGAAATGGCTGGAAACCAGCCTGGAAATGGCCAAAACCCATCTAAAACCAGGCTGGTCGACTAGCTAAAACCAGCCAACCAGCCTAGGCTGGTTTAAGCTGTTTTTTCAGTAGGGTGGTTAGCTTGTTCATGTTAGCCCTGGTGTATTTTGTCTGATTGGTTGCTAACAGCTAATTTCCTCAACTTTCTTTTGTCCACTCCCACTAAGTTGGGCTTCCTGTGTTTGTTTTGTTTATATCAGCTAAGACCTTGTTTTAGATATTGTTTTCAGTATCCCTTCTAGGTATTATCAGGCTTATTGCTAAAAGATAGCTGTTAGATATTTCTGTTATCTTTATATTCGTACAGACGTGATTATCTTGTTTAGCATGTTTCTGTTAGAGCTATTATTAACAGCTAGCTTAATTGCCACCATTGTTCTTTCTTTATTTTAGTAAAGTTGTTACCTTCTCTATTTTCCCACTCTTTCTTGTGTTCATAACACAGACTGGGCTTTGCTAGTTAGCATGTTTCTGTTAGCCTTGGTAGATTTGGGCAGATGTGTTGCTAACAGCTAACTTTTGTTGGTCATTTCTCTCTTTTAGTCAAGTTTCCAGTCTTTCATTTATGTTATGTTTTATTTGGATTTAGATAAATACAGTCTAGGTTTTCCTGATGCCATTAGCCCTGTTGTGAGAATAATCTCTAACAGCTAGCTTTCTTCAGGTATTATAGATCTTCAGGTATTTTTGTTGTCAAAGTTGTTGTCGTCTCTCTTTGTTCATTTTCATATCTTTGTTTTAATTTTACATCCACACAAATTAAGTTTTTTTAGTATGTTCCAATTAGCCCTGGTAGATGTTGTCAGGTTAGCTGCTAACAGCTAGCTTCCTTCAGGTATTATAGACCACCTTCATGCTGACAGGGCCGAAGTGAAGTCTATGTTTTACTAAAGTGCGTTTCAGTCCTTTAGAAGCCACTCAGGCGTGACAAAGCTCACCTTTCCCACTGTGGAAGACGTCTAAATGGACCTCTTGTCACACACTAATCAATAGCAGAAATGCTCTGTGTGTACACAAGTCGTTTCAAACACTGAGCATGTCAGTACTTTTTCCCAGTATCTGACATGGTTTCATCTGCTTCCCGTTGTCTTTGGAGACAAGCAGAGCTGGGTCACTGTGTCAGCAGCGCGCGCCGAGAGACACGATTCGCTCGGAAATCAAAGAAATGTGTAGTGCTGAGAAAGGTCAACAGGAGACTGCAGCTTATAAGGAAAACAGAAAACACTGTGAAAGTAGAAAGATTGAGTACAAAGCACTGAAGATACACAAGAACAGAATGTGTTTTTTCATCTAAAAGTCTATTTGCATTCTGTTGATAGAGGAACATTGAAGCATGCATGGTACGCCAAGCTCAGGTCCTGTCAATGTCAGCGTGGGTTTTTTAGTCTGCTGTTTAGATATGCGAGGCGGTGGATGAGTTTAAGAACACCTGTGTTCAAATTTTTATGAGTACAGAAGCCAATGGATAGCATATATGGCAATGTAATGATATTTTGCAAATTCATATATTCACTGGGTTGTTGTTGCTGGTGTAAAATTAAGCAATTTTGTGATAAATATGCTTTTTATTTTGTGATTAAGTTAATGTAGAGCATTTTAATTGGATGACTGGAGGCCTTCATATGCTATTTTTCATTAAAATCGAGAGGGAGAGAAAGACAGCATATATTGTTATATTGAAGCAAAGAAATTAGAATAATTAAATATCATAATTGCATAAATATACAAACATTACATGCATACATATACTGTACATACAAATGAGCAGAATATGTGTTCAAGATATGCAGGTACACAGCAGCACAATATATTTACTATGCTATTTTCATTCACCGCAGCCTCATTTTCGTTTACATCATATTAAATACAGTGTCTGCGCTAACTGAAGTCTATGAGGCCTTGAATGATGATCTTTGTGCGTTATCATGGCTCAGCTCCATCCAATGTAATTTCAGAACTCCATAACTCGGTGGGTGTGCCGGCTGTAATGGACTCCTAATGATAAGGAAAGAAAGCAGCCTGCTTCTCTAGGCAGAGCAAGATGGATCCCGCAAATGAAGCTGACCTAAATACACAGCTGTCATTATAGTCTGGAGGATGTTTCATATCTGGTGTAAAGTGAACAGACCCTCAGAATACACCGGCTGTGCCTGTCTCTCTGTTCCCATGGCAGTAACTCATAA